AAAAGTGCATCTATCCATCATAAAAGTGCATCTATCCATCATAAAAGTGCATCTATCCATCATAAAAGTGCATCTGTCCATCATAAAAGTGCATCTATCCATCATAAAAGTGCATCTATCCATCATAAAAGTGCATCTGTCCATCATAAAAGTGCATCTGTCCATCATAAAAGTGCATCTATCCATCATAAAAGTGCATCTATCCATCATAAAAGTGCATCTGTCCATCTTAAAAGTGCATCTATCCATCATAAAAGTGCATCTATCCATCATAAAAGTGCATCTGTTCATCATAAAAGTGCATCTATCCATCATAAAAGTGCATCTGTCCATCATAAAAGTGCATCTATCCATCATAAAAGTGCATCTATCCATCATAAAAGTGCATCTGACATCATAAAAGTGCATCTGTCCATCATAAAAGTGCATCTGTCCATCATAAAAGTGCATCTGACATCATAAAAGTGCATCTATCCATCATAAAAGTGCATCTGTTCATCATAAAAGTGCATCTATCCATCATAAAAGTGCATCTGTCCATCATAAAAGTGCATCTATCCATCATAAAAGTGCAGCTATCCATCATAAAAGTGATTCTATCCATCATAAAAGTGATTCTATCCATCATAAAAGTGCATCTGTCCATCATAAAAGTGATTCTATCCATCATAAAAGTGCATCTGTCCATCATAAAAGTGATTCTATCCATCATAAAAGTGCATCTATCCATCATAAAAGTGATTCTATCCATCATAAAAGTGCAGCTATCCATCATAAAAGTGCATCTATCCATCATAAAAGTGCATCTGTCCATCATAAAAGTGATTCTATCCATCATAAAAGTGCATCTATCCATCATGAAAGTGCATCTATCCATCATAAAAGTGCATCTGTCCATCATAAAAGTGATTCTATCCATCATAAAAGTGATTCTATCCATCATAAAAGTGCATCTATCCATCATAAAAGTGATTCTATCCATCATAAAAGTGCATCTATCCATCATAAAAGTGCATCTATCCATCATAAAAGTGCATCTGTCCATCATAAAAGTGATTCTATCCATCATAAAAGTGCATCTATCCATCATAAAAGTGCATCTGTCCATCATAAAAGTGCATCTGTCCATCATAAAAGTGCATCTGTCCATCATAAAAGTGCATCTATCCATCATAAAAGTGCATCTGTCCATCATAAAAGTGCATCTGACATCATAAAAGTGCATCTGTCCATCATAAAAGTGCATCTATCCATCATAAAAGTGCATCTATCCATCATAAAAGTGCATCTGTCCATCATAAAAGTGCATCTGACATCATAAAAGTGCATCTGTCCATCATAAAAGTGCATCTGTCCATCATAAAAGTGCATCTATCCATCATAAAAGTGCATCTATCCATCATAAAAGTGCATCTGTCCATCATAAAAGTGCATCTATCCATCATAAAAGTGCATCTGTCCATCTTAAAAGTGCATCTATCCATCATAAAAGTGCATCTGTCCATCATAAAAGTGCATCTGACATCATAAAAGTGCATCTATCCATCATAAAAGTGCATCTGTTCATCATAAAAGTGCATCTATCCATCATAAAAGTGCATCTATCCATCATAAAAGTGCATCTGTCCATCATAAAAGTGCATCTATCCATCATAAAAGTGCAGCTATCCATCATAAAAGTGATTCTATCCATCATAAAAGTGATTCTATCCATCATAAAAGTGCATCTGTCCATCATAAAAGTGATTCTATCCATCATAAAAGTGCATCTGTCCATTTTTCTATCCATCATAAAAGTGATTCTATCCATCATAAAAGTGCATCTATCCATCATAAAAGTGCAGCTATCCATCATAAAAGTGCATCTGTCCATCATAAAAGTGATTCTATCCATCATAAAAGTGCAGCTATCCATCATAAAAGTGCATCTGTCCATCATAAAAGTGATTCTATCCATCATAAAAGTGCATCTATCCATCATAAAAGTGCATCTGTCCATCATAAAAGTGCATCTGTCCATCATAAAAGTGCATCTATCCATCATAAAAGTGATTCTATCCATCATAAAAGTGCATCTGTCCATCATAAAAGTGATTCTATCCATCATAAAAGTGCAACTATCCATCATAAAAGTTCATCTGTCCATCATAAAAGTGCATCTGTCCATCATAAAAGTGCATCTGACATCATAAAAGTGCATCTGTCCATCATAAAAGTGCATCTATCCATCATAAAAGTGCATCTATCCATCATAAAAGTGCATCTATCCATCATAAAAGTGCATCTGTCCATCATAAAAGTGCATCTATCCATCATAAAAGTGCATCTGTCCATCTTAAAAGTGCATCTATCCATCATAAAAGTGCATCTGTCCATCATAAAAGTGCATCTGACATCATAAAAGTGCATCTGTTCATCATAAAAGTGCATCTATCCATCATAAAAGTGCAACTATCCATCATAAAAGTTCATCTGTCCATCATAAAAGTGCATCTGTCCATCATAAAAGTGCATCTGACATCATAAAAGTGCATCTGTCCATCATAAAAGTGCATCTATCCATCATAAAAGTGCATCTATCCATCATAAAAGTGCATCTATCCATCATAAAAGTGCATCTGTCCATCATAAAAGTGCATCTATCCATCATAAAAGTGCATCTGTCCATCTTAAAAGTGCATCTATCCATCATAAAAGTGCATCTGTCCATCATAAAAGTGCATCTATCCATCATAAAAGTGCATCTGTCCATCATAAAAGTGCATCTATCCATCATAAAAGTGCATCTGTCCATCTTAAAAGTGCATCTATCCATCATAAAAGTGCATCTGTCCATCATAAAAGTGCATCTGACATCATAAAAGTGCATCTGTTCATCATAAAAGTGCATCTATCCATCATAAAAGTGCATCTGTCCATCATAAAAGTGCATCTATCCATCATAAAAGTGTAGCTATCCATCATAAAAGTGCATCTGTCCATCATAAAAGTGATTCTATCCATCATAAAAGTGCATCTGTCCATCATAAAAGTGATTCTATCCATCATAAAAGTGCATCTATCCATCATAAAAGTGATTCTATCCATCATAAAAGTGCATCTATCCATCATAAAAGTGATTCTATCCATCATAAAAGTGCATCTGTCCATCATAAAAGTGATTCTATCCATCATAAAAGTGATTCTATCCATCATAAAAGTGCAGCTATCCATCATAAAAGTGCATCTGTCCATTTTTCTATCCATCATAAAAGTGATTCTATCCATCATAAAAGTGCATCTATCCATCATAAAAGTGATTCTATCCATCATAAAAGTGCATCTATCCATCATAAAAGTGCATCTGTCCATCATAAAAGTGATTCTATCCATCATAAAAGTGCATCTGTCCATCATAAAAGTGCATCTATCCATCATAAAAGTGCATCTATCCATCATAAAAGTGCATCTGTCCATCATAAAAGTGCATCTGTCCATCATAAAAGTGCATCTGTCCATCATAAAAGTGATTCTATCCATCATAAAAGTGCCTCTCTCCATCATAAAAGTGCATCTGTCCATCATAAAAGTGCATCTGTCCATCATAAAAGTGATTCTATCCATCATAAAAGTGCAACTATCCATCATAAAAGTTCATCTGTCCATCATAAAAGTGCATCTGTCCATTTTTCTATCCATCATAAAAGTGATTCTATCCATCATAAAAGTGCATCTATCCATCATAAAAGTGATTCTATCCATCATAAAAGTGCATCTATCCATCATAAAAGTGCATCTGTCCATCATAAAAGTGCATCTATCCATCATAAAAGTGCATCTATCCATCATAAAAGTGCATCTGTCCATCTTAAAAGTGCATCTATCCATCATAAAAGTGCATCTGTCCATCATAAAAGTGCATCTGACATCATAAAAGTGCATCTATCCATCATAAAAGTGCATCTGTTCATCATAAAAGTGCATCTATCCATCATAAAAGTGCATCTGTCCATCATAAAAGTGCATCTATCCATCATAAAAGTGCATCTATCCATCATAAAAGTGATTCTATCCATCATAAAAGTGCATCTGTCCATCATAAAAGTGATTCTATCCATCATAAAAGTGCATCTGTCCATCATAAAAGTGATTCTATCCATCATAAAAGTGCATCTGTCCATCATAAAAGTGATTCTATCCATCATAAAAGTGCATCTATCCATCATAAAAGTGATTCTATCCATCATAAAAGTGCAGCTATCCATCATAAAAGTGCATCTGTCCATTTTTCTATCCATCATAAAAGTGATTCTATCCATCATAAAAGTGCATCTATCCATCATAAAAGTGATTCTATCCATCATAAAAGTGCATCTATCCATCATAAAAGTGCATCTATCCATCATAAAAGTGCATCTGTCCATCATAAAAGTGATTCTATCCATCATAAAAGTGCATCTATCCATCATAAAAGTGCATCTGTCCATCATAAAAGTGCATCTGTCCATCATAAAAGTGCATCTGTCCATCATAAAAGTGCATCTATCCATCATAAAAGTGCATCTGTCCATCATAAAAGTGCATCTGTCCATCATAAAAGTGCATCTGACATCATAAAAGTGCATCTGTCCATCATAAAAGTTCATCTGTCCATCATAAAAGTGCATCTGTCCATTTTTCTATCCATCATAAAAGTGCATCTATCCATCATAAAAGTGCATCTGTCCATCATAAAAGTGCATCTGACATCATAAAAGTGCATCTGTCCATCATAAAAGTTCATCTGTCCATCATAAAAGTGCATCTGTCCATTTTTCTATCCATCATAAAAGTGATTCTATCCATCATAAAAGTGCATCTATCCATTATAAAAGTGATTCTATCCATCATAAAAGTGCATCTATCCATCATAAAAGTGATTCTATCCATCATAAAAGTGCATCTATCCATCATAAAAGTGCATCTATCCATCATAAAAGTGCATCTGTCCATCATAAAAGTGATTCTATCCATCATAAAAGTGCATCTATCCATCATAAAAGTGCATCTGTCCATCATAAAAGTGCATCTGTCCATCATAAAAGTGCATCTGTCCATCATAAAAGTGCATCTATCCATCATAAAAGTGCATCTGTCCATCATAAAAGTGCATCTGTCCATCATAAAAGTGCATCTGACATCATAAAAGTGCATCTGTCCATCATAAAAGTTCATCTGTCCATCATAAAAGTGCATCTGTCCATTTTTCTATCCATCATAAAAGTGCATCTATCCATCATAAAAGTGCATCTGTCCATCATAAAAGTGCATCTGACATCATAAAAGTGCATCTGTCCATCATAAAAGTTCATCTGTCCATCATAAAAGTGCATCTGTCCATTTTTCTATCCATCATAAAAGTGATTCTATCCATCATAAAAGTGCATCTATCCATTATAAAAGTGATTCTATCCATCATAAAAGTGCATCTATCCATCATAAAAGTGCATCTATCCATCATAAAAGTGTTTCTGTCCATCATAAAAGTGATTCTATCCATCATAAAAGTGCATCTATCCATCATAAAAGTGCATCTATCCATCATAAAAGTGCATCTGTCCATCATAAAAGTGCATCTGTCCATCATAAAAGTGCATCTGTCCATCATAAAAGTGATTCTATCCATCATAAAAGTGCATCTATCCATCATAAAAGTGCATCTGTCCATCATAAAAGTGCATCTGTCCATCATAAAAGTGATTCTATCCATCATAAAAGTGCATCTGTCCATCATAAAAGTGATTCTATCCATCATAAAAGTGCATCTATCCATCATAAAAGTGATTATATCCATCATAAAAGTGCAGCTATCCATCATAAAAGTGCATCTGTCCATCATAAAAGTGCATCTGTCCATCATAAAAGTGCATCTGTCCATCATAAAAGTGATTCTATCCATCATAAAAGTGCAACTATCCATCATAAAAGTGCAACTATCCATCATAAAAGTTCATCTGTCCATCATAAAAGTGCATCTGTCCATCATAAAAGTGCATCTGTCTATTTTTCTATCCATCATAAAAGTGCAACTATCCATCATAAAAGTTCATCTGTCCATCATAAAAGTGCATCTGTCCATCATAAAAGTGCATCTATCCATCATAAAAGTGATTCTATCCATCATAAAAGTGCATCTATCCATCATAAAAGTGATTCTATCCATCATAAAAGTGCATCTGTCTATTTTTCTATCCATCATAAAAGTGCAACTATCCATCATAAAAGTTCATCTGTCCATCATAAAAGTGCATCTATCCATCATAAAAGTGCATCTGTCTATTTTTCTATCCATCATAAAAGTGCAACTATCCATCATAAAAGTTCATCTGTCCATCATAAAAGTGCATCTGTCCATCATAAAAGTGCATCTATCCATCATAAAAGTGATTCTATCCATCATAAAAGTACATCTATCCATCATAAAAGTGATTCTATCCATCATAAAAGTGCATCTGTCTATTTTTCTATCCATCATAAAAGTGCAACTATCCATCATAAAAGTTCATCTGTCCATCATAAAAGTGCAACTATCCATCATAAAAGTTCATCTGTCCATCATAAAAGTGCATCTGTCCATCATAAAAGTGCATCTTTCCATCATAAAAGTGAATCTATCCATCATAAAAGTGCATCTATCCATCATAAAAGTGATTCTATTCATCATACAAGTGCATCTGTCCATCATAAAAGTGCATCTGTCCATCATAAAAGTGCATCTGTCCATCATAAAAGTGCATCTGTCCATCATAAAAGTGCATCTATCCATCATAAAAGTGATTCTATCCATCATAAAAGTGCATCTGTCCATCATAAAAGTGATTCTATCCATCATAAAAGTGCAACTATCCATCATAAAAGTTCATCTGTCCATCATAAAAGTGGATCCTAACCGTACGGTCATCAGTGTGTGTGTGTGTGTGTGTATAGAGTACGGTCAGTGAGTGTACGCTGGTCGCTCTGCTCGCCGCCAGGAAGGACCGGATCCTGCAGATGAAGAGCGACTTCACACACGCCGACACCGACGAATCCGTGCTGAACGCCAGACTCATCGCGTACGCCTCCGATCAGGTGATGAGGATGATGATGATGATGATGATGAACGCTGGTGTGGGTTATGATGAGGATGATGAAGATGATGATGATGAACGCTGGTGTGGGTTATAATGAGGATGATGAAGATAATGAGGATGATGATGATGAACGCTGGTGTGGGTTATAATGAGGATGATGAAGATGATGATGAGGATGATGATGATGATGAACGCTGGTGTGGGTTATGATGAGGATGATGAAGATGATCATGATGAACGCTGGTGTGGGTTATAATGAGGATGATGAAGATGATGATGATGATGAACGCTGGTGTGGGTTATAATGAGGATGATGAAGATGATGATGATGAACGCTGGTGTGGGTTATGATGAGGATGATGAAGATGATGATGATGAACACTGGTGTGGGTTATGATGAGGATGATGAAGATGATGATGATGATGAACGCTGGTGTGGGTTATGATGAGGATGATGATGATGATGAAGATGATGAGGATGATGATGATGAACGGTGGTGTGGGTTATGATGAGGATGATGAAGATGATGAGGATGATGATGAACGCTGGTGTGGGTTATAATGAGGATGATGATGAGGATGATGATGATGATGATGAAGATGATGATGAACACTGGTGTGGGTTATAATGAGGAAGATGATGATGATGAAGATGATGAGGATGTTGATGGGGATGATGATGATGATGAAGAAGATGATGATGACGATGAACGCTGGTGTGGGTTATGATGAGGATGATGAAGATGATGATGATGAAGATGTTGATGATGAGGATGTTGATGGGGATGATGATGAACGCTGGTGTGGGTTATAATGAGGATGATGATGAAGAAGATGATGATGATGAGGATGAGGATGATGATGATGAACGCTGGTGTGGGTTATGATGAGGATGATGAAGATGATGATGAGGATAATGAAGATGATGAGGATGATGATGAACACTGGTGTGGGTTATAATGAGGATGATGATGAGGATGATGATGATGATGAAGATGTTGATGATGAGGATGTTGATGGGGATGATGATGAACGCTGGTGTGGGTTATGATGAGGATGATGAAGATGATGAAGATGATGATGAGGATAATGAAGATGATGAGGATGATGATGAACACTGGTGTGGGTTATAATGAGGAAGATGATGATGATGAGGATGTTGATGGGGATGATGATGATGATGAAGAAGATGATGATGATGACGATGAACGCTGGTGTGGGTTATGATGAGGATGATGAAGATGATGATGATGATGATTAGGATGATGATGAACGCTGGTGTGGGTTATAATGAGGATGATGATGAGGATGATGATGATGAAGATGTTGATGATGAGGATGTTGATGGGGATGATGATGAACGCTGGTGTGGGTTATGATGAGGATGATGAAGATGATGATGATGATGATGATGAGGATGTTGACGGGGATGATGAAGATGATGAGGATGATGATGATGATGATGATGATGAACACTGGTGTGGGTTATGACGAGGATGATGATGATGAGGATGATGATGATGATGAGGATGTTGACGGGGATGATGAAGATGATGTTCACGGGGATGATGATGAACACTGGTGTGGGTTATAATGAGGATGATGATGAAGATGATGATGATGATGATGAGGATGATGATGATGATGAAGATGAAGATGATGATGATGATGAGGATGATGACGGGGATGATGATGAAGATGATGATGATGATGATGATGATGATGACGGGGATGATGATTAAGATGATGATGATGATGATGATGACGGGGATGATGATGAACACTGGTGTGGGTTATAATGAGGATGATGATGAAGATGATGACGAAGATGATGATGATGATGATGATGATGATGATGATGATGATGAGGATGATGATGATGATGATGATGATGATGATGATGATGAGGATGTTGACGGGGATGATGAAGATGATGATGATGATGATGATGAAGATGATGATGATGATGATGATGATGATGATGACGGGGATGATGATGATGATGATGATGACGGGGATGATGATGAACACTGGTGTGGGTTATAATGAGGATGATGATGAAGATGATGATGATGATGTTGACGAGGATGATGATGAACGCTGGTGTGGGTTATGATGATGATTGATCTCTCTGTGTGTGTGTGTGTGTGTGTGAAGGCTCACTCGTCAGTGGAGAAGGCTGGTTTGATCGCTCTGCTGAAGATCAGGTTTCTAGAGACTGACGAGGCGTTTTCTCTGCGTGGAGAAACTCTTCAGCGCGCCGTCGAGGAGGACCGGAGGAGAGGCTTCGTTCCTGTGATGGTGACGCAACACACACTGATGAATAATTAACGCTCTGGTGCTGTTCAGTCATTTTTTCCATGAAAGTGAATAAACTGATTATTAATACAGCGTAAATATAATTTAGTATAAAAAATCCCCTAAAAATACAAATATTAAATAAAAAATATTATCAAACTAAAATATAGTACATTAATTTCATTAACAACAAAAAGAAAAGAAATGTGTTCCTTTTTGACCGACACGCGAAGAGCAGCGGCTGTTTAACGCGAAGTGACTGTGTGTGTGTGTGTGTGTGTGTGTCCTGCAGCTCTGTGCGACGCTCGGCTCCACCGGTGTGTGTTCCTTTGACCGTCTGGATGAACTCGGCCCCGTGTGTAAGTCCCCCATGACCCATGAACATCAGCGTGTGTAACTGCATGTGTGTGAGTGTGTCAGTGACGGTGTGTGTGTGTGTGTGTGTGCGCAGGTGCGCGCGAGGGTCTCTGGCTGCACGTGGACGCGGCGTACGCTGGATCTGCCCTCATCTGTCCTGAACTGCGCTATTTTCTCAACGGGATCGAGTTTGCAGATTCTTTCGTCTTCAACCCATCGAAGTGGATGATGGTTCATTTCGACTGTACAGCATTTTGGTGAGAGACACATTATTTCCTTTTATATTTTCCAGTTAGGAATTATAGACTCAACGAAAGAATTTACACCTAATTTACACATGAAAAGAGTCTCTTCTGCTCACCAAGGCTGCGTTTTACATTGTTACAGTAAACAGTGTAATATTAGGCCTACTCCAGTGTAAATCATCTGTTCTCTATGTGAATATACAGTAAAGTGTAATTTATTCCTGTGATCAAAGCTGATTTTCAGCATCATTACTCCAGTCTTCAGTGTCACATGATCCTTCAGAAATCACTCTAATATGAGGATCTGATGCTCGAGAAACATTTATGATTATTATCAACGTTGAAAGCATTTTGTGGAAACTGTCTTACAGTTTTTGTTTTTCAGGATTCTTTGATGAACAGAAAGTTCAAAAGAGCAGAATTTATTTGAAATAGAACATTATAAATGTCTTTACTGTCACTTTAAATCAGTTGAATGTGTCTGTAATGAATAAAAGCATTAATGAATGTTGTGAAGCCTGTGTTTGTGAAGAGTGTGTTTGTGAAGAGTGTGTTTGTGAAGAGTGTGTTTGTGAAGAGTGTGTTTGTGAAGAGTGTGTTTGTGAAGAGTGTGTTTGTGAAGAGTGTGTTTGTGAAGAGTGTGTTTGTGAAGAGTGTGTTTGTGAAGAGTGTGTTTGTGAAGAGTGTGTTTGTGAAGAGTGTGTTTGTGAAGACTGTGTTTGTGAAGAGTGTGTTTGTGAAGAGTGTGTTTGTGAAGAGTGTGTTTGTGAAGACTGTGTTTGTAAAGAGTGTGTTTGTGAAGACTGTGTTTGTGAAGACTGTGTTTGTGAAGAGTGTGTTTGTGAAGAGTGTGTTTGTGAAGACTGTGTTTGTGAAGAGTGTGTTTGTGAAGAGTGTGTTTGTGAAGAGTGTGTTTGTGAAGAGTGTGTTTGTGAAGATTGTGTTTGTGAAGAGTGTGTTTGTGAAGACTGTGTTTGTGAAGACTGTGTTTGTGAAGAGTGTGTTTGTGAAGAGTGTGTTTGTGAAGACTGTGTTTGTGAAGACTGTGTTTGTGAAGAGTGTGTTTGTGAAGAGTGTGTTTGTGAAGACTGTGTTTGTGAAGAGTGTGTTTGTGAAGAGTGTGTTTGTGAAGACTGTGTTTGTGAAGAGTGTGTTTGTGAAGAGTGTGTTTGTGAAGAGTGTGTTTGTGAAGATTGTGTTTGTGAAGAGTGTGTTTGTGAAGAGTGTTTGTGAAGAGTGTGTTTGTGAAGAGTGTGTTTGTGAAGAGTGTGTTTGTGAAGAGTGTGTTTGTGAAGAGTGTGTTTGTGAAGAGTGTGTTTGTGAAGAGTGTTTGTGAAGATTGTGTTTGTAAAGAGTGTGTTTGTGAAGATTGTGTTTGTAAAGAGTGTGTTTGTGAAGAGTGTGTTTGTGAAGATTGTGTTTGTGAAGAGTGTGTTTGTGAAGAGTGTGTTTGTGAAGAGTGTGTTTGTGAAGAGTGTGTTTTTGAAGAGTGTGTTTGTGAAGAGTGTGTTTGTGAAGAGTGTGTTTGTGAAGACTGTGTTTGTGAAGAGTGTGTTTGTGAAGAGTGTGTTTGTGAAGAGTGTTTGTGAAGAGTGTGTTTGTGAAGATTGTGTTTGTGAAGAGTGTGTTTGTGAAGAGTGTGTTTGTGAAGAGTGTGTTTGTGAAGAGTGTTTGTGAAGATTGTGTTTGTAAAGAGTGTGTTTGTGAAGATTGTGTTTGTAAAGAGTGTGTTTGTGAAGAGTGTGTTTGTGAAGATTGTGTTTGTGAAGAGTGTGTTTGTGAAGAGTGTGTTTGTGAAGAGTGTGTTTTTGAAGAGTGTGTTTGTGAAGAGTGTGTTTGTGAAGAGTGTGTTTGTGAAGACTGTGTTTGTGAAGAGTGTGTTTGTGAAGAGTGTGTTTGTGAAGAGTGTGTTTGTGAAGAGTGTGTTTGTGAAGATTGTGTTTGTGAAGAGTGTGTTTGTGAAGATTGTGTTTGTAAAGAGTGTGTTTGTGAAGAGTGTGTTTGTGAAGAGTGTGTTTGTGAAGAGTGTGTTTGTGAAGAGTGTGTTTGTGAAGAGTGTGTTTGTGAAGAGTGTGTTTGTGAAGAGTGTGTTTGTGAAGAGTGTGTTTGTGAAGAGTGTTTGTGAAGAGTGTGTTTGTGAAGATTGTGTTTGTAAAGAGTGTGTTTGTGAAGATTGTGTTTGTAAAGAGTGTGTTTGTGAAGAGTGTGTTTGTGAAGATTGTGTTTGTGAAGAGTTTGTTTGTGAAGAGTGTGTTTGTGAAGAGTGTGTTTGTGAAGAGTGTGTTTGTGAAGAGTGTGTTTGTGAAGAGTGTGTTTGTGAAGAGTGTGTTTGTGAAGATTGTGTTTGTGAAGAGTGTGTTTGTGAAGAGTGTGTTTGTGAAGAGAGTGTTTGTGAAGAGAGTGTTTGTGAAGAGTGTGTTTGTGAAGAGTGTGTTTGTGAAGACTGTGTTTGTGAAGAGTGTGTTTGTGAAGATTGTGTTTGTGAAGAGTGTGTTTGTGAAGAGTGTGTTTGTGAAGAGTGTGTTTGTGAAGATTGTGTTTGTGAAGACTGTGTTTGTGAAGAGTCTGTTTGTGAAGAGTGTGTTTGTGAAGATTGTGTTTGTGAAGAGTGTGTTTGTGAAGAGTGTGTTTGTGAAGAGTGTGTTTGTGAAGAGTGTGTTTGTGAAGAGTGTGTTTGTGAAGAGTGTGTTTGTGAAGAGTGTGTTTGTGAAGACTGTGTTTGTGAAGAGTGTGTTTGTGACGAGTGTGTTTGTGAAGACTGTGTTTGTGAAGACTGTGTTTGTGAAGAGTGTGTTTGTGAAGACTGTGTTTGTGAAGAGTGTGTTTGTGAAGACTGTGTTTGTGAAGAGTGTGTTTGTGAAGAGTGTGTTTGTGAAGAGTGTGTTTGTGAAGAGTGTGTTTGTGAAGATTGTGTTTGTGAAGACTGTGTTTGTGAAGAGTGTGTTTGTGAAGACTGTGTTTGTGAAGAGTGTGTTTGTGAAGAGTGTGTTTGTGAAGAGTGTGTTTGTGAAGACTGTGTTTGTGAAGAGTGTGTTTGTGAAGAGTGTGTTTGTGAAGAGTGTGTTTGTGAAGATTGTGTTTGTGAAGAGTGTGTTTGTGAAGAGTGTTTGTGAAGAGTGTGTTTGTGAAGAGTGTGTTTGTGAAGAGTGTGTTTGTGAAGAGTGTGTTTGTGAAGAGTGTGTTTGTGAAGAGTGTGTTTGTGAAGAGTGTTTGTGAAGATTGTGTTTGTAAAGAGTGTGTTTGTGAAGATTGTGTTTGTAAAGAGTGTGTTTGTGAAGAGTGTGTTTGTGAAGATTGTGTTTGTGAAGAGTGTGTTTGTGAAGAGTGTGTTTGTGAAGAGTGTGTTTGTGAAGAGTGTGTTTTTGAAGAGTGTGTTTGTGAAGAGTGTGTTTGTGAAGAGTGTGTTTGTGAAGACTGTGTTTGTGAAGAGTGTGTTTGTGAAGAGTGTGTTTGTGAAGAGTGTTTGTGAAGAGTGTGTTTGTGAAGATTGTGTTTGTGAAGAGTGTGTTTGTGAAGAGTGTGTTTGTGAAGAGTGTGTTTGTGAAGAGTGTTTGTGAAGATTGTGTTTGTAAAGAGTGTGTTTGTGAAGATTGTGTTTGTAAAGAGTGTGTTTGTGAAGAGTGTGTTTGTGAAGATTGTGTTTGTGAAGAGTGTGTTTGTGAAGAGTGTGTTTGTGAAGAGTGTGTTTTTGAAGAGTGTGTTTGTGAAGAGTGTGTTTGTGAAGAGTGTGTTTGTGAAGACTGTGTTTGTGAAGAGTGTGTTTGTGAAGAGTGTGTTTGTGAAGAGTGTGTTTGTGAAGAGTGTGTTTGTGAAGATTGTGTTTGTGAAGAGTGTGTTTGTGAAGATTGTGTTTGTAAAGAGTGTGTTTGTGAAGAGTGTGTTTGTGAAGAGTGTGTTTGTGAAGAGTGTGTTTGTGAAGAGTGTGTTTGTGAAGATTGTGTTTGTAAAGAGTGTGTTTGTGAAGAGTGTGTTTGTGAAGAGTGTGTTTGTGAAGAGTGTGTTTGTGAAGAGTGTGTTTGTGAAGAGTGTTTGTGAAGAGTGTGTTTGTGAAGATTGTGTTTGTAAAGAGTGTGTTTGTGAAGATTGTGTTTGTAAAGAGTGTGTTTGTGAAGAGTGTGTTTGTGAAGATTGTGTTTGTGAAGAGTTTGTTTGTGAAGAGTGTGTTTGTGAAGAGTGTGTTTGTGAAGAGTGTGTTTGTGAAGAGTGTGTTTGTGAAGAGTGTGTTTGTGAAGAGTGTGTTTGTGAAGATTGTGTTTGTGAAGAGTGTGTTTGTGAAGAGTGTGTTTGTGAAGAGAGTGTTTGTGAAGAGTGTGTTTGTGAAGAGTGTGTTTGTGAAGACTGTGTTTGTGAAGAGTGTGTTTGTGAAGATTGTGTTTGTGAAGAGTGTGTTTGTGAAGAGTGTGTTTGTGAAGAGTGTGTTTGTGAAGATTGTGTTTGTGAAGACTGTGTTTGTGAAGAGTCTGTTTGTGAAGAGTGTGTTTGTGAAGATTGTGTTTGTGAAGAGTGTGTTTGTGAAGAGTGTGTTTGTGAAGAGTGTGTTTGTGAAGAGTGTGTTTGTGAAGAGTGTGTTTGTGAAGAGTGTGTTTGTGAAGAGTGTGTTTGTGAAGAGTGTGTTTGTGAAGACTGTGTTTGTGAAGAGTGTGTTTGTGACGAGTGTGTTTGTGAAGACTGTGTTTGTGAAGACTGTGTTTGTGAAGAGTGTGTTTGTGAAGACTGTGTTTGTGAAGAGTGTGTTTGTGAAGACTGTGTTTGTGAAGAGTGTGTTTGTGAAGAGTGTGTTTGTGAAGAGTGTGTTTGTGAAGAGTGTGTTTGTGAAGATTGTGTTTGTGAAGACTGTGTTTGTGAAGAGTGTGTTTGTGAAGACTGTGTTTGTGAAGAGTGTGTTTGTGAAGAGTGTGTTTGTGAAGAGTGTGTTTGTGAAGACTGTGTTTGTGAAGAGTGTGTTTGTGAAGACTGTGTTTGTGAAGAGTGTGTTTGTGACGAGTGTGTTTGTGAAGACTGTGTTTGTGAAG